ACTCCGCGATACAGTAATGGGTGTAGGACCTCGTTAATCATCTGCATAAAGGCTGATCCAGAGCCTTTTAGGACGAAGGGGCAGACGGAAAATTCAAAATGTCCGAATGCACAGGTGAACGCTGTTTTCCACCTGTCCTCGGGCCTTATCCGCAACTTATGATAGGCCTCAATTAAATCAATTTTCGTAAACACCCTTGCCTCTGATAGTCTTGACAGCAAGTCTTTAGTTAGCGGCATTGGGTAATTGTTCGTCGTGCTCACCGCATTCAGCCCCCTATAGTCCACACACAGTCTCAACGATCCATCCTTCTTGTGCCTAAACAGCACTGGGGCCCCCAAGGGTGATTCGGAAGGTCTTATAAACCCTCAGGCCAAGTTTTTGTCAACATATTTTCTCAGTTCCTCCATCTCCTTGACTGACATGGGGTATAACCTACTTCTGTGCAGCTTGGCGTCCTTATTGAGTTCAATTTTAACTTCGACCCTTCTAGGGGGAGGAAGCTGATCTGCTTCCTTTTCGTCAAATACATCCTCAAAGTCTCTATACTCAGGAGGGATTTCTTTCACTTCGCCTGCTGTGCCTTCTTCCCCCTTGCAGCACTCCTCCCCCTCTTTGTCCTGGAAGCTTATGCTGCCCCTCCTCCAATTGACCTGGGGGTTAGCTTCTTTTAACCACGGCATCCCCAGTATTACATTGTAAGTGGCTATAGGGGACACTACAAAGGTTATGCCGCCTTCCCAGTTTCCTACCTTGCACCTTACTTCCCCCACTTCGAATTGTGCCGGGGCTCCGGCCGCCACCGAGCCGTCCAGCTGCGAGAATGCTATGGGGGTTTGTAACAGGGTTTTCTTATAACTTAGTTCATCTGCTAATTCTGGTGCCACAATATTTCTGGAGCAGCCGCAATCCAAGAGGGCTTTGCAGCTGGCCCATTTCCCCTCCCCTTCCAGCCTGATCGGGAATACTAGCATTCCTGGGCTGTGACTCACCAGGTCTCCCACTGGGGCCCTATGAGGGGGATTCTCTTCCGCTCTCTTCCCCGCGGCCGGCTTGAACTTTGGAAAATGGGGATCTCCCCCTTTCCTCTGCCGACATTCAGCAGCCCGATGGCCAAGGCGTCCGCATACATAACAGCCGCCCTTCTGCTCCCTGGATCCTCCGGTAGGGCCCTTCCCGATCGCGACTCTCTCCGCTCTCCGATTCTCCTCCTTGGCTCTCGTCTGCTGCGGCGCTGCTCCTTGATGTCTCTTGACCTGTGCCAACGTCGTCTCGATGCGGCGAGCCAGCTCGATCCATCCGCCTATCTCCTCCGGATCGTCGCGATGAAGTGCCCACGTCAAGATTTCCTTCCGCAGGCCCTCTTTGAATATTTGGACCTTGGTGGTGTTAGACCACTCCGGCACTTTTTCCGCTCTCAATCGGAACTCCTCTACGTATTCCGATACGGAGCGATGGCCTTGTGTTATTGTTCGTAGCCTGTCCCTCGCTCGGATCCTCTCGAGCGGATCCCTGAAGCGTGCCTCCATTGCAGCAAGGAACCGCCTCGTAGACCCCAAACATGGATCGCGCCTGGTGTGGAGCTGGACGTACCACTCCGCTGCTCCTCCTCTCAGTGCTGTGCCCACTGCCCGCACCCTGCTCGCCTCCGATCCGAAGGTAAGGGCGTTGTCCTCTAGATACCCTCTCACCATGGTCAGGAAGTATGCGAGTTTCTCTGCTTCTCCTCCGAACTCGATCCTCAGCTCCTCCCTTCTTGGTTGGTAGAGAAGGGGTTGCCTCTCCTGGTTCTCCGTTCGGGGTGGCCCTCCCTGGAGCTCACGCTGCTCCGGGGGCAATTCTTGACGCCCTGTGCCACGCCCGGCTCCGGCTGGGGGCACCAGGAACGTCTGCTGGGGCGCCAGTCCTCGGGGTTGTCTCTCCTCCTCGTCGCTCTCCCCAGGG